GGGGAGGGGGTAGGAGCGGACATTCTTCCAGCAGCTTCTGCCTGGAGGGGGTCAAGCTTCTTTTTCACTTTTTCCTCTTGTTTACGTGTCTATAGAACTTTGGGGTTTGGGGTTGCAGTTTTACTGCTCTACACGTGCACATGCGTCCCTCACCTTCACAAACCTCCCAAACCAGTGCCTCTCACCTTCCTCTTCCCGTCCCTTCTCTCTCCTCCCCCTCCCTCTGATAGGTATTTTTTCATTTTTCACCAAGTCTAAGTTTGTTTTTGCTGTGTTTGGCCAGTGTTTGATATCTGGCTATTTATATCCCACAGATAAGTGAAATCTCTGATAGTTTATCGTTCTGATTTACACCATTTAACATAAACCCCTCGAGGTCCATCCATTCTGACCCAAAGGCACCCTTTCACTGAGTGGTATTGCAGGAGTGCATATTCCACAACTTCTCCATCCAGCCCCTGTCCAGGGGCACTTAGATTGGGTCCTTAACTTGCCCATGTGAACACAAGTTCCTGTGGAGTTTCCATAAGCCTTCCGGAGGGTGTTCTTGAAATTGGCCTAGAGGGCATGCCCCGGCCAGATCTCCTGGAAAGCCTGGCCCCTGAACTGGTCCCTCTGGTGCAGGGCAGGATCTGCCTCTGGGGCAGCCTGCACCGGCCCCCGGAGCAGCTGCGAGGCTGCCTCCAGCTTCCTTCCTCTCCCCGCCCTCTCCCGCCCCCTGCCTGGCGCCCCAAGCTGTTTTCCACTTGCTGGTGCGCACACTCCACCCTGCTGTGCCCTCCTCTTTTCTGGGGTTAAACTTCTCTGAGGCGGCCATCAACCAGATGCCCTGCCGGTCTCAAGTGTCCTGCTCCGGAGAAGAGAAGCAGGCGGGTACCTCGGAGTGGAGGCTCCTCCAGGCTGCACACACGGGGAGGGACCTGCTGCCTGTCCACCCAGAGGCTGAGCCCCCAGGAGAATCCCGCCCTCCGGAGGACCGACCGAGGACAGCAAACCGGTGCTGCTGCTGGCCCAGGTAGGGAAGGGCCCCTCCCTAGGGTGTCCAGGCTTGGGGGGAGCAGGACTAGTGCATGGCAGCCCAGGGGGTTGCCCTGCAGAGGGGCCCCGGTTGAGACCCCTCCATCCTGCCATCCTGCCTCTCTCCCCCAGCCGCCATTCTCGGGTTCCATGGTTACTGGGAAATCCACCCACCCAGACCGGGATGGGACCCGCCCTGGCTGCAAGGGGCAGAGGCAGCAGTCTCCTGGGCAGATAGCCTGGGCCCTCCTCTGCTCACCACCCAGGGTTCATGCCTCTTGTACCCTATTTTGGTCCATTTAGGAGCCCAGGGCCCCGACTTGAGCTCTCCGGAGTCTTGAAACCAAGAAGGGAAGAGGAGGAGAAGGAGGAGAGGAGGCAGCTTTTAACTCATTGCTCCCCAGCAATACTTACTACTTCATTTCCCAGGGAGTTAGAGGCGGCTCCTGGCTTGCGAGGAGAGTCGGAGGGGAGAGCCAGGTCCCTCCTTCTCTCCCACCTTCCCCAAGCACCATGTGCCAGCCCTGCCCTGTCCAGTTCACCTGGCAGCCTTGGCCAAGCCTGGGGGTGGAGGTATAGACTTGCTGCCCACCCCGTACTCCCTCCCTGGTTTCTGCTGGCCCGAGGTTTTTTTTGTTTTTCACACCCAAAATGGAAAGGGAGGTTGTGAGGCCACACCCTGGCAGAGCTCTCAGTTTGCGTGGGTGGAGCCTGGAAAGGGAGCTGGGGCAGAACCTCACAAGAGCCTGAGGCCACGGCCACTTTCCAGCTGCCTGCCAGCCAGCCCAGACCCCGGCAGTCAGGGCAGGTTCAAGGGGGCCTTTGGGCATGACTGAGCCTTCAGCTTTCAAGGCTTCCTGTTGCGGTAAGGCCTGGGCCTGCAGGTAAGGCCTGGGCCTGCAGGCCGAAAGGGCTGCTGAATGGGGGAGTGGGAAGGGGTTGGGGGGAGGGGGTATGCCTTGCTGGGGACTCCTTGGAGGAGACCAAGGAAATGGAAGACTCACTGGGCTGGACCCACCCATGTCCTCTTCCCAAGTATCCCTAGGAAAGTTGCTCAATATTTGAATGAGCTCCAGCAAACTACTTCATACTCTAGACTTTAGTTGCCTGATCTTTGCAAATTGTTCCCCCTCATCTTTGGGAACCAGCCTGAAGACTAACAGGTGAGAGAGGGCAGACTCTACCTCAGAACAATTTCCAGGGGTTTATTCCCTTTCTTTTCCCTCCAGCATCTCTTAAGAGACAAGCAAAGACCAGAACAATCTATGCTCTTTTCACTGTTGACACTGAGGTCCAGAGAAAGGTCAGGCTCACCTAGGCAGTCGAGTCCGAGGTCCCCAGAATGAAAGGGTTCATAAGAACTCCCGGGCTCTATGCCAGGCTCACCCTACTCCAGGGCCCTGCCTCCACCCCCACCAAAGTCCCTTATCCACCAGGACACTCCCTCCTGCTTTTATACCTTCAGATTAGAGGCTTGGAGACACACCACCCAAAAGCCCCAGGTCCCACAGAACATTAGCACTTCCTGGAATCCCAAAGGGGAAGCCAGTCAACATCCTATGTTCCCCAATTCTACTGGTCCACTCCTAACCGCAACCCCAAGAAAGAGAAGCTGAGAGCCGCCCAAGCCTGAGCTAGAATCTCAGCCCTGCTACTTACACGTGACCCTGGCAAGTCACATGCCCCCAGGGAGCCTCCAGCTGCCCTATAGCTGGGGACTGACAGCACAGTGGGGTCTGAGAATGGGCAAGGAAGGAGGAGGATGTGCTAACTCAGTAACTCTGGCTCCCACCACTTCCCCTGGCCCCCCAGTCTCCTCCCTCTCAAGAGCCACGTGAGCAGCCCTGCGATCCCCACCTCCCTTTTTACTGGCAAACACCAGCGGTCATCTGCTGTTCTACAGGAACACCAGGCGGCCACTGCAGGGGATAGCATGGCAAGACCTCGGCTGGCCATCAGGCACCCACCCTCCTGCACGCCTCCCTAGCCCCACCAGCAAGCACCCATCTGGTCTACGGCAGCGGGTCCCCCAGCCAACCTATCGCCATGGCAGCCCTGATTGCAGAGAACTTCCGCTTCCTCTCGCTCTTCTTCAAAAGCAAGGATGTGATGATCTTCAACGGGCTGGTGGCCCTGGGAACAGTGGGCAGCCAGGAGCTGTTCTCCGTGGTGGCTTTCCACTGCCCTTGCTCGCCAGCCCGGAACTACCTTTACGGGCTGACGGCCATCGGCGTGCCTGCCTTGGTACTCTTCCTCATCAGTATCATCCTCAACAACCATACCTGGAACCTGGTTGCTGAGTGCCAGTACCGGAGGACCAAGACCTGCTCAGCGGCCCCCACCTTCCTCCTTCTAAGCTCCATCCTGGGCAGGGCGGCGGTGGCCCCCGTCACCTGGTCGGTCATCTCTCTGCTGCGCGGCGAGGCCTACGTCTGTGCGCTCAGCGAGTTTGTGGACCCCGCCTCGCTCACGGCTGGGGAAGAGGGCTTCCCGCTAGCTCATGCCACAGAAATCCTGGCCAGGTTCCCTTGCGGCGAGGGCCCTGCCAACTTGTCAGGCTTCCGGGAGGAGGTCAGTCGCAGGCTCAAATATGAGTCCCAGGTAAGGTGGTACAAAGGGAAGCTCCTCTTTCTTCCCCAGAAGGTAGCAGCAGGAGCTGCCGGGGTGGGCCAGTGCGAAAGCTGGGGTCGGTCTGCAGGAAGGTTCCAAGAAGGGCCTAGGCTCTCAGTGTCAGCGTCAGAGCTGCAAAACCCATGGGTTAGTGCTTGGTGGGGCAATGGTCAAGTCTGGTTCCAGGTAACAGGAAAGGTGCATTCTGGCTCTGACTGAGTCTGGATACCCGTCAGATTCCCTTACTCCAGCCAGACTGAGCACAGCTCCTGCAAGACTTTGAAACATTTGTTGTCAGCCATGAGTTGATAGTGGAGTATGGCTGACTTCAGGCCTGCAGGGAGGTTCCTGGCCCTGGGTCAGCCTCCTACTAGGTGGAGGGGCTGTTGAGGAGGAAGCAGCTACTGCTGCCCTGATGCCGGCGTGGCTTAGGTCTGAAGGAAGTGGTTGGGAGAGAGGGCGAGGGCAGGCACCCGGGCAGAGAAAGCCCAAGTTTAAGTGTCAGCTTAAGTAGGGGCTGAGGAAGAGATGGCACCAGTTTTCCAAAAGATCTCAAGTACCTAAGAAACACGAATAGACAGAGGGAGAGCTGGAAACAGCACAGGACAAGAAGGCAGATGGAGGGATACGATTTATTTTTATATTTTTTAAAGATTTATTTATTTATTTATTTATTTATACATACATACAGAACTAGGGTACAAGCCAGAGGTGCAGGGGCAGTTGAGAGGATTCACCAGAGACAGAGTGGGGAGCAGAACAGGCAGACTGATGAAGTGCACTGCTGATGGGAGCAGCAGGCGGGTCAGGAGAGGTCTGCCGCGCCATGTGGTCACCTCCGGGCCGGGGATCGAACTCATGCTGAAGTGGCTAAGGCTCGCTTGCAGTGCTGCGTCCTAACTGGTTGCACCACCAAGGAGGGCCCAGGGACAAGACTTATTTTATCAAACTCACAGGTCTCTCTACAGGCCCAAATGGTGACACAAAGATGAGTTTGACTGTCCTTGCCCTCCACAGGCTTCGACCCAAGCGAGCACGTGAGACCAGCACACGGGGATTTTGAATCAAGGTAGAGGAACATGTAAGCAGATGCAGGCCACGGGTTGTTCCAGGAGCGCAAGGCTGCCCTTGGAGGGACTTTGAAGGCTTCCCGGAGGGGCATCTAGGTTGAGCTGAGTTTTGATGGGCTGAGAGTGGGGAGAGGAGTCGGGCAGAAGGAGTGGCAGCAGAAACTGTGAGAGCCAACATTCAAGACAGAGTAAGTGCTGAGTTCAGGGAGTGAGGAAGCAGGTGCACACACAGCTGGAGGGTGTTCTTCCTTACAGAAACAAGATCTGGCCAGAGAAGTGACAGAACCAGCTCACAAGGGGTTCTGAGGCCAAGCTCAAGTGACCAGCTCCTTCTGCTCCCTCGTGGGGTAGGGTGGGTACCCCGCCACTACCCCCGGCCCCTGTGGCTCCTTCCTCAACCCTACCCCTTCTCTGGCCAGCTCTTTGGGTGGCTGCTCATCGGCGTGGTGGCCATCCTGGTGTTCCTGACCAAGTGCCTCAAGCATTACTGCTCGCCACTCAGCTACCGCCAGGAAGCCTACTGGGCACAGTACCGCGCCAACGAGGACCAGCTCTTCCAGCGCACCACCGAGGTGCACTCCCGGGTGCTCGCTGCCAACAACGTGCGGCGCTTCTTCGGCTTTGTGGCGCTCAACAAGGATGACGAGGAGTTGGTGGCCAAGTTCCCAGTGCAGGGCACACAGCCTCGGCCACAGTGGAACGCCATCACGGGTGTCTACTTGTACCGCGAGAACCAGGGCCTCCCACTCTACAGCCGCCTGCACAAGTGGGCCCAGGGCCTAGCAGGCAACGGCTCGGCCCCTGACAACGTCGAGATGGCCCTGCTCACCTCCTGAGGGCTCTGTTCCCACTCTGCTGAACACAGCGCTTGGTCCCATGCTGAGCCCCACTACCTGCTCACACCAGCATCAGAACCGATTTTTTGAAAAATCGTCCCTTCTTTGGGGAACACAGAACTACCTGGGGTGTGGATGAGTCAGTGCCAACATGGTCAGCTCTGACCAGAAGACTTTTAGACCTAAAGAAACCCCTTCTGTCCTGCCGCCATAAGCCACTTGGGCAACAGCTTGAGAAAAGAGCTTTTCCCAGAACTGGTCCTTCATGTGGCAGATGACCTTCCCCTGGTGGGATTTGCAGGCCGGGAAGCAGTAGTGAGCAGAGCCCGTGATAAACCCACCAATGGGCTCTACGAGGGGCAGTATGCAGTTAATTCATGTCCAACAGCAGACGACCCACTCAGCTGGGAAGCAGCCTGCCAGTATGCACCTCAGCCTTCACTTTATGGATTAAAAGTTTTGATAAAGCTTTTCTCTCTTTTTTAAAGGTTTATTTATGCATACAAGAACTGGGGTATAGGTCAGAGGTACAGGGGCAGTGAGAGGATTCACCAGAAAGCAGGGAGCAGAAAAGGCAGATGGATGAAGTACACTGCTGAGGGAGCAGCAGGCAGGTCAGAAGTCTGCTGCGCCATGTGGGTCAGCTCTCTGGCCAGGGATCAAGCTCATGGCGAAGCGGCTGCAGCCAGCTTTACAGTGCTGTGCTTTAGCCCAGGGAGGGCCCAGTGAAGCTTTTCTTAGGAGAAAGGACTAAGCTGGTTCTGTATTATTGCATCCACCTTGCTGGAATTCTATCCCGTGTGGGGGAAGGGGACACAGAAGCTCAGAGGGCACCACAGGGTTGGGTAATGGGAGCACAGGGGGAGTCAGGTGGTATCACATGGGAGGCCTGAGGATCTCCTGGCTATTGGGTCCAGCTATCTGATTTGATCTGGAAAACAGATCAAAGGAAAGCTCAGCTTCAATTTCATAAGACAGAAGACCCTACACTCAGTAAGGCAGATTAACTCCTGTAACCTGGTGCTACGGTCCAAGAAATAGGCCACCCCAGTTTCCCCTCCCTCCCACACCCATCCTTAGCTGAGGGCCTCCACCACCTCCAAAACCTTTCGATGGTCTCCATCTGTCTGCAGGGCCGGACTTGGTTATTTCCCCACAGAAAAGCTCTCTAGTCCTCAGGATATTTAAAGCTCTGCCAGAGAAAATCTTTAATTCCCTCAAAATGAAGCCAGAGAGCACTGATTTCATCAGCTAGCTGGGTGTGAGCTGGCTTCCAAGAACTCTGTTAAGATAGTATTTTCAAAGAAGGCAGAGACACTGTCCTCTGGGTACTTAACAACAGCTGCGGGGATGTGTGGTGGCCTGACTTGTCCCTTCTCCATCAGGGCTCAGGGACCTCTGTCCAGCAACCTTTGTCCAGAGGAGCTCAAGAGGAGAGAACCGTGGGGCTCTCCCCTATGTCACCCAGCACATGGTCAAGGTCCTCACAGACCCTCCTACCTGTTAGGTGGTGGCAGCAAACAACATACAGGTTCTTGTTTAATTCACAAAACCACCTTTCATGGCAGGACTTAAAAACCCACTTTACAAGAGAGGCTGGGTAATCTGGGCCTGGGAAGACAGACCCAGGAGGTTTAATCCCCTGGGGCTCTTCTCAGGCATTGAGATTCCCCAATTTTCCCCTCTGGACTCTCCCTTTGTCCCCCTAACCCCACCTCGCAGCTTCCATGAACTCATACAAGGTAGTAGCTGAGCCAAGGCTATACCCAGAGACAGCCTCTGCCTGGACCAAGAGCCTGCCGGGGCCAAAGTGGGATCCTGACCAGACGGCCGGCCAGGAGTGAGCCGCTCCGTTCCTGTTCCCTGGAGGATCTCCCACAAGGGAAGGCCCCGCTTCTCTGGGAGCCTAAGAGCCTGTTCCCTGCAGTGGCTGTACAACTTCAGAAAGGAAATGGATGAATTATGTGGGTACTTAAATAAAACAAGTGAAAAGGAATGATAAGAAATAGCACTTTTTTATCGTGCTGACCCCCGTCCCCTCCCCCCCCCAAAGACGCTGCAGAAAAAGCAGCACTTAAATAGTCCTCAGGCAACAGCTCCAACAGCCCGGGTGCCTGAGGATGGGCCGTCCAGAGGCGGCTGCCACTAGTCCTCCAGCACGGAGCTCTTGGCCTCCACGTACTCCAGGGCCTTTGCCTTCACTGCCTGCACGTCCCTGTCTGTGCCATGCTGCTTCTCGTAGTCCAGGTAACGCTTGAAGAAGAATTTCATTCGCTTGGGGGCCAGGCTCAGGTGGATGACCCGCTCGAAGATGTCCCTGTAAGGAAGAGAAGGTAGCATTCGCCTCAGTCTTGGCCACACAATTACTAACTAACCTGGCAGCCACTTGCTCTCAGGCTGTGGAGCCAGGGCCTCTATTATCAGCACACCCACATCCATCTTTGTTTTTATTAGTGTTATAAACTCCCATCAAGTCTCCAGCGAGAGAAACTACCACCCTCACTTTCTAGATAAGCAGACAGGCTCCCAGAGATGAGAAAGGACTGACTGGCCTGAAGTCACACAGTGAATCAGGACATTGCTGGGATGGGGACTCACAGCGAGGGGTGGGTCTGTGAGGAAAGAAAGCTATGCTTAAAGCTCACTGAAGGGCTCGGGTGAGGCGCTAGTGCTCCCTGGACATCAGTCTACCCATCTCTCACCCTCCCTGCCTTGTGGGGGCAATAGCCAGATTATGGCCGTGAATGTTCTGAGTGCCAGGTACAGCGTTAATTATGAGGAAGGCGCTGGCCCCCCTCTCACCGAAAGCTCCTGACATAACCCAGAAGCTAGCCCTGGGGGTGCTAAGAGCTGCTATGGTGCTAAAACACAACAGCTTGGCCAGTGCCCCCAGAAATTCAGCTCCCGCCTGTACTCCTCTCACCTGACTTCCTTCTGGCTGCCGTGCTTGATGACCATGTCGATGTAGACCGACCAGACGTCGGTGCGCTTTGGATAAGTGCTGAGTGTGTTCTCAAAAATGGCTTTGGCCCGCTCTGCATCTCCCAGCTGGAACTCCAGCTGGGCAAACTTGGCAATCACATCCACATCTGTGGAGAGAGGACAGCTCAGACACACAACAGGCAGACTGATCCTCACCATTCCCTGTTCTTGGGTTCTACTCTCTGGGCCCAAGGAGAGGAAGGAGGGAGGTGCAAGGGTAACAGTTAGGGCTGACTGTTTTTTGTTCCTCCATCTTCAGAGTGATAGCCATGTGCTCCACAAGGCTTCCTGAAGGCCACCTCTGACCTCTGATGAGAAGACCCCAACCGCTAAGCCCAAATGTCAGAGAGCCAGCTTGGGGTCAGCAGGGGGAGGGGCACTCACGCTCTTTAGTAGGTAGGCACTCGAGGGCGCGCTGCATCACACGGTGACTGGCTCCATCCTGGCCCCTCCGCAGAAGAAAGGCCCCATATTTTATCCAGACAGCTTTCTCCTGCCGGAAGCGCTTCAGCATCCGGTTGTAGAGTTCACTAGCTTCCTGTGAGAAAGTGAAGTGAAATATGACAGAGGGACAAGGACAGACTGCAGCTACACTCATGAGAAACCAGACTCAAGCTTAGGGACTCCATCCCTATGTAGGTCCAATCTGAGACCGGCAGGAAAGCAGCCTCACAGAGCTTGAGAGCACGTGAGGAGGCCTAATGTGATGAGGCGCCGCCCAACTGATCCTGTGCACACAGGCCGTCCCAAGACTGGAAGGATGAGGAGGACAAGGTGAACGGGTGAGGCAGAGAAGGGGGTTCTGGGATGGATGCCACCTTTGTCTTTAATACCCATGGGCAGCCCAAGAGATACACACCAGGGACCAATGCCCTTTCACTTCCTCCACCTCCACCTCCACCCCACTCCTAAAGCAAAGGTGGGGGAAATGAGCCCTGATGTGAAAGATGAGCAGTCAGGGCCCAGATGGCAGAGCAGGCCTGGGGCGGGGTCCAGACCCAGAGCACAGGTTTTCTTCCCCGAAACATTCCTGTGGCCTGACACCCAGGGACCAGTTTCTAAGTGGTTCAGGACCCTGGGTCCACAGGCCGCAGCCCAGACTCCCACCTGGAATTTCTCTGACTTGGTGTAGATGTCAGCGAGATGGAGAAAGACCTTGAGAGGCTCGTTATACTGCACAGCGCGCTCGAAAATCTTGGCCAGGGACTCCTGAGAGCCGTACATGTTTTCCAGGTTCAGCAGTGCCACCCACACGTTCAGTTTCTCCTGCTCCTCTCTGGGGGGGCGGGGGGGAGCGGTGGGAGGAAGAGCAAGAGCAGCTGGTACACGAGCTCCATCATCTCAGCCCTACACACTGCCCACTCCCATCTGGAGAGGGGGACTAGAGCTGCTTCCCCCTGTCCCAGCTCCATCCATGCCCTCAGTTATCACCCACAAAAGCAGGCACTGATGGATCGGCCCCGTCCTACCCCTGACCCCTGTGACTGCCCACTGGGGCTCCCCTGGTCTGCCCCCATTCCTGGAGAAGATTACCAATCTCAAACTGGCCTGAACTTTAAGCAGGAAGGAGCAGAGTCTCTGGTCTGATTCTCTCCACAGCAAAGGCTCCCATCCCTTTCACGAGGCTTCTGAAAATACTACTCTCTGCCTGGAAAGTGGCCACCTACTCATCTTCACCACGGTCTGTGGCGAGTCACTGCCCCATTCCACTGCTCACACTGGGCACTTTACACGGCTGAGAGTCTTGGAAATGTTACTCTTAGCGATCTCAGTGACGAGGACTATGAAATATAAATGAGCACAGTCTGGACAAGGCTGCGAGAGAAAGCCTGGGAAGCCGTGGCCCGTGGAGCAGCCACCCAAATGCTTAGTCTAAAGCTACCCACAGGAAGCAAGCCCCTCAACTTGGGAGGCATGGCCTCTTATGTGGGAAGGCCCCTCCCTAAAGCAGTGGGGCCCAGAGCCGAGACCTGAAGGAGATGGTCTTGAGAGCCCGCTCAGCCACGGCCCGGGCCTTCTCGATCTCTGTGGCCTGCAGATGGAAGGCCATGTACTGCAGCCAAAGGATGGAGCTGTCGGGGGAGCTCAGCACGAGTCTGTCGAAATCATCCGCTGACTCTGGCTGTCGCCCAGGATCCATCAGCGCCTCCTCCAGGCGGGACAGCTCTTTTTCTGCCTTCTGCTTCTCCAGTTCCCTCTCCTTCTTGCTTTTCTTCTGTTGTAAAAATAGAAAAATTAGTGAGTGACCTGTTCCCTGAACCCTGGAGAGATCTGCAGGGTAGTTCACAAGCTCTGTCAATCCTCTGGCAGAGAAAGCCCCCAACCCCGCTGCCTAGAAGAGACACCAAGGGGCCCCCGCATCAAGGTTAAAGCTGTGCAAAATACGACACCGTGGGATGCTGGGGCTTGTCCTCATCCTCGCTGTCTGAGCTCTCTTCTCGGGGGGGCAAGGCCGGGGTCAGAGAGTCCAGCGCCACGTCCCAAATGAAG